AAAGGAGAGAGAGAGAGAGAGAGAGAGAGAGAGAGAGAGAGAGAGAGAGCAGAGTGGGGATAGACTGGGATAGACAGAAAGCATTTTTTAATGGGGAGGGGTGTGGTCAAGGAGAAAGCGAACAGAGAGTTCATGGCATCAATATCTATCTTGACTTTAACAGAAGAGTAACAACACTGACGTAGACGCATTAAAAAAAAACTGAGCTATGTTTGTGAAAGCAACCTCTTGAATTCTGGTTTACTTCAGTTACGCATATTTGAATACATTGAAGACCGCTTTGTTTGAGTAAAAGGAAACACATCGACACAATAATGGTCATTTAGAGCTGGGGGAAAAGTGAGACCGACAGACAGAGACGACAGTGTGAAAAGAACAGAAGTAGGACCGACCAGTGGCGCCCTCCAACCACCCACATGATGACAGCTGCATGTTGCAGTAAGGGTAAGCGCCTGATTTTTTAAATCGAAAATGATTCAGGAAAAAAAAAATCCCAGCTGTTTAAATATGGTTTGCTCCTAATTAAGGAAAGAGTACAATATTTTAATTTTTTTTTTAGCAATTAATTACTTCTGCTTTACCCAGGGCGTGCCAAGGGGCAATTTAAAATAATGATTGAAAAAAAAATAGAAACAAACAAACACCAACAAGGTGTAAAAGCTCGATAGATCTTAAGTCGTCAGAGTTTTCTGTGAGTATCATATACGGCAATGTGTACATACAACATCAGACAGCACAATGCGTGGTATAGATGGTACGGTGTTCGAGTCCCATTCAACAGATCTCGCGTTCGAAACCTGACAGCGACGGAAAATTTTCTTCTCTAGAATATTTTCTCCTCTCACTTCCTGTCCTTTTCTCTAATCATATTCTATCTTCTGCTTTCGACTCCATTCTCTGCCCCTTCACTCCCCCCCTCCCCCCCTTCCACATCTTTGCCCCTCCTCTGGGCTCCTGGCTCACTCTTTCTGCTACCTTTCTTCTGCTACTCATTGGCTTCTCTTTACTGCTTCTGTCTTTTATCCACAACCCTTTTCTTAGGTTAATTAAGATCTATCGCATAGCCTTCTCGGATAAGGGCAGACAAATCTCGGAGGTTTCGTGTG